CTGATAACGGTCTGCAATGCATTGGAGTAGAAAAAAAAAATTCAATGGTAGTTGTTGCTTCCAGTAAAGTAATCTATAAGACAACATCTACAGTCTAATTTCGATGTGGATTGCGGAAACTCAAATGGGATGAACGTTAAAGGCAGAGAAAAACTACTAAAATTCTTCTCTTTCTTTTCTACTAATCCGTCGAGAGTGATGCAAGAAATATTATATGGACCTATTGTAATGCATAATTCATTTAAATTAACTATAAAGAAAGTTAAGGACGTTACTCTTTTATCTATTCTACTTTTTATTCTGATATTATTAATATGTTTGTTTGTTATTTTAGCTAATAAACTCCCCGTAATGGTTTACATACACGGTGAATCGTACGAATGGAATTCTGGCAATCCATATGATGGTAGTGTACTGGCAAGCTATGGGCTGGTAGTGGTTGTCACCATAAACTACAGACTTGGAGTGTTAGGTAAGGATTTCTCATGTTTGTTTACCATTAAACAAACTTACAGTTATAATAAATAAGCGGTTTTAATACAAAACAAAATGAACTTTAGTAAGGATTATCTTCTTAATGCATAACGCTCTCAAAGACATTAAAGAGTATCGATTGGCGAGTTTTTTCAGTAGTTTAAGATTAATAAATATAAACAGTATAAAATATATAATTTATAAAGTTAAATAGGCAGATTTTCTTCCATTTAAAATTATTTTATAACTGAGTTAATTAAGGAATTTTTATGCAGCTTCGTTAATCGAAAATTTGTATTTGAGCGCGCCTATCTTCAGTTAAATTCTCTATCTACTTGGAAAAAAGTAAAGCTGATAATAATATTTTTTTTACCGGGAAAGATACATGCATAGTCATCATTTCCGTTATAGAATGGATAATGCCGCGTAATTAGTGATTATTGGATAATGCATTTAATGACCGTTGAAGTCTTTCTATAAATGAATTGTTTTCGAGACTTACTCAGCTATTCTATACACAGAAATAAAATTCGTTTAATAACAGTTAATTAAATAAATGACAAAATTAGACGACTATCGAGTAGTATAAATATAATACGAAAGGAATACAATTAACTTTCCTTTTGCCATTTTTCCAGACGTGACCTCTCTCTATATTTAGGGTCTTGTATATCACTGTGAGTGGCAAACGATATGCTAATGGTATTGTACGTTGACATGTAGTGTTGTGTGAGGGAGAGAAAATTCCGTATGGTATCGATTTATCGCAAGAATTCAATAATTTATGCAGATTTGAAGCCGCTGGGTATCTACTCAGAACACAAATTGCTAGTTTCTAGAGATACAAGTATCGACAGAATCATCGACAAACTGATCAAGAAACGAATAAAGAAAGAAAGAAGAAGAAAATCCAAATACTTCTTTTTATTTTCTGACATCTTCAGTCGCCGGTTGACAAGTAAAAGTGTTGCAGGTGTTGATTCTTGTGGCGTTAAAACGAAACTTACTTTGAGTACAGAAAACGTCGTTTAATGATTCTTCTTTTTTCCTGTTTTTTTCTTTTTTTTTTATAAATAAAAGAAAAAGTCACAACCGAGTAGAAAGATCGATTAATGATGTAAAATGTCAACGCCACAAATCTTTTCTAATTTATTCACTTTTTTCTTTATCAAGTGTGTTTTCTGTATCCTGAAACAATTACTGACGTGTTCATTGTGAACATTACTTTAAAGAATCTACTGAAGAACTTTTCCCCTCTTCTTCCCTCTGATGACTCTCTAAAGTTTCATTGTGTCAATTATTTCATTGTTCGCGTGCATTTTCGACATTTTTATTCTCGCTGGCCGAGTTTTATATGCAGATTTATATATATTTCTACGAATGATCCATTAAATAATATCATTTTTAGGATTTCTTCCTTCGTTGGATAATTCTGCGCGGGGTAATTATGGTTTGATGGATCAAGTGGCCGCTCTTCATTGGATACAAGAGAATATTGGAGGTTTCGGTGGGGATCCTCGAAATGTTACGGTTTTTGGACATGATTATGGAGCAGCCTGCACTAACTTTTTAATGATTTCTCCTATGGCCAGAGGTAACATGTATACAGATTTTATATGAAGTAATAATCAGTACGTGAGTAATAATCCGCATTTTTAAAGAAAATAAATATGTAAATATGAAAGAACTTTTATTTATAATTCATTATTTATTCTTCTTAAATCATAAAATGTATATTTTTTACTTTCTTATAATAAAAACCGTTAATTTAGTATAAAATCTTACGCAATTAAATAAATTTAATAACATATATCGAAAATAGAAAAATAATAAAAGTAATAATTTTAACTCGCGTTTTACTTCTTTATCATGCAAATTATTGTAAATTAAAATTAATTATTTAAATAAAAGAATATTTTTTTTTAAAAGAATGAATTAAAGAGAAAGGAACACAGAAAAATTTTTTTCCGAATATTTTACATTTTAATAATTGAATAAATAAATGTTTAAAGAGAAATTATTGATGTTTGCAAAGGAATTAATTTTTCATCGTTGAGGAAAAATTGTATTTTTCTTGAGTTAATTTCAATAGAATGATAAATCTTTTCTTAACATTTAAAAATTTTATACGTAATTTTACTTTTGTTATCACTACGTAAATCTTATAAATGATAAAGATGTATGTCTATAACATTGACTTATATGTTATTTTTACATACATTTTTAGTGAATTTTATTAAGATTATTGTCCTTTATACATATAAAATTTATTATTTACAAGTTATTCTCTTATTTATTATATGTTTAGTTATTCATACATGCATTATAGTTTCGAATAAAAGTATAATAATAATCATATATATAAAATACGATAAAAATTCTACGCAGATATATAAATTTAATTTATTTATTTAATAAGTATATAAATAAAATATAAAATTACATATTTTTTTGAATATTTCTTTTATTATTAATGCCTTATCATTAAAAGCTTGGTTTTATAAGTCGCTGGAAGCGATGAAATATTTTTCATGGCGAAAATAAGTTATTTGATTCCATCGAGTATAATAAATTATACATTTTAAAATCATATATTTAAAATTACAATTAAAATTTTCCGCTCTAAATCTCGTAGTTTCATCATTTTCAATTAATTTATGGATAAGTATCAGAGACCAAATGTTATTTGATATATTTAAACTTCGAAATTAATGTGGTTGTCGGTAGAAAAAAAGGAAAAATCTCTATCTAGATGAGTTCTAGATTACATGCACTTATCTCGTACAGTCTATCATATCATAGTGAAGATACGAATCAAGTTGTTAAGTAATAATAAAAGATAAAAAGATTGGAAGAGTCTCATTGAACTTTATATATAAAGTTAGGAAGAATAAGTTATAATGAAAATTATATACTAAGAAAATGCCATAAAGTTAAAGTAAATAATCCATTAAGCAATTGCATTACGTAATTACATTAATTAATAAGCGTTAAATTTAATTAAAATTAAAAATATGGTATTAATTTAATTCGGTAGTTACTGACATACTCTATTAATAGAATAATAAGTTAATAATTAATAAAGTAATCAGTTTTAGGAAACGAAGAAAGAAAGAAAAAAATAATCGTAGTAAATGTAAATTTAATAGATAAAAGTATGCGGTTGTTAGAATAAATATTTAATAAATATATATCCCGGTGCAATAAGTTAAAGTAGAATAAAGGGAATTTTATCTGTTTCAGGCCTCTTTAATCGCGCCATTCTACAGAGTGGATCAGCATTGAGTTCTTGGGCCATAGCAAATGATGCCATTTCATACACTCATCACTTAGCCAATCGGTTAGCTTGTCCAACTAAAAACAATGTTCTTTTGGTAGAATGTATGAGGCAACGACCTCTTTCCGACATCATTCGAGCTCAACCTAAGCCCCCTATTCACGGACCAGTCTTTGGACCAACAGTAGACGGTATTGTTATTCCATCATCTCCATCTTTACTCATGGATAACTCCACTGATCTTTACGGACATTACGATATGCTTTTTGGCATAACCAGGACCGAATTCTATCACGATTTTTCAGCGGAAGAAGAAAAGTCGGGCATAGATCGAGATAGAAGGGATAGTTTTATTTTATCTTTACTTCGTACCCTTTATTCTTCACGTCTTCAAGAGATATTTCTCATAACAGTGAGTGAATATACGGACTGGACAAGACCCACGCAACATCCAGTCAATATGATGGAATCAACTGCTGATATTTTAGGGGATGCATTATTCGTGGCACCCATTGTTAGGGCAGGAATGTTTCATTCTACAGTCAGATCTCAGTCTTATCTCTACGTCTTTACATACCAGACAGAAAGTGGGGAATTTTCCCAAAGACTCGGATGCATTCACGGAGAAGAACTTCCATATGTCTTCGGTGTGCCTTTGGTTGGCACTCTAGCCCATTTTTCTGGCAATTATACTCGTTCTGAAATCTCTTTAGCCGAAGCGGTTATGACGTTTTGGACAAATTTTGTCAAAACTGGGTAAATACCATTATTACAATTTCAAATTTTCTGTTTGATAAATTTATAAAAATATATTTTCTATAAATAAAACATTTTATTTCAATTTTATTTAAGTTTCAAATATATTTATTCTCGAACATAAACCGCATCCGTAATGCAACCATACAAAATTTATATGTAAGATAAATATTAATATACCAGCCAAGTAAATTCGATTAATATATATATATATATATATATATATATATATATTAATTTTTATAAGGATGCTATGTCAGCAATTGAATCCTTGATATGCAATAATGATGAATAATTACTCAATCGAAGAAAACTGGATGTCTGAGAGCTCAATCTAGCTGAGAGCAAAAACCTATTGCTTTACAAGTTTTTGAAGATATTACCACAGTTGTTGTTGAACAGTCAATGATTAATGTTGCAGGCTCCAGTAGTGCATATGCAATGTCATGGCATTGAATTTATCCTATGTATCAGTATGAAGATACTGAGAAAGATAGGTGCACTGTTAAGTGTATAAGGTCAGTCACAACAAGCAGCTGCTTGCTGCTGACAGAAAAACCTAATTGATCTTTGTATTTATCTTCCTTGTCAGAAGAGAAGTAAATGTGTTGTGACCATGATATATCTTGTGGAGTAACAATGCAATTTTCATCTTGATGAAACACTGAATGCCTGTAACTGTTGCTTTTGAGCCAGGGAAAATGCTCATGTTTTCAACATTTTGCATGACTCTTAAGTTTTCATTGCACTCTGCTAAAGTTATAGTCTGGTATGGATTCACAACTACATTTGTTCTGGTTTATTCTTCTTTGAAGAAAATAGTCCCAATGAGCCTTTGATATGCTTTGTGATGGGCCAAATATGTTACACTTTTGCCACACCTCAACTACAGCAGTGATAATGTCTTGAATCAATCACTTTTAAGCAGTCAAAGTGCACACAGGTATCAAATACTGCACACAGATATCAGATACTGCACACAGCAGTTTTTGCAATAATTCATTGAAAACAGTGTGATTAGTTTGGCATTTCCTACAGCCCGACCACTTTAAATCTTAATTCATGTGGCTTTTGGTTGAGGGAATATTTGAAAGTGTGATTTACTGAGGACATGTTGCAAACTTGGCAGCCTTAAAGATAGTATCATATTGCATATCAGAGCATCCCAGAGGATCAGTTATGAGCAGCCATTGAACACACTGTTTGTAATGCCTTAGCTATTTCTATTGAGAGCCCAGATAGTTTCCTAATGGCATATTACAGAAATTAGAGTTCAGTTAGTGCCAGGCTTGGATTTTATGCAGGCAATAAGTAACAAAAAATTATTAATGAATTAAAAACCTGACATAATTACTATATGTAATAACAAAAAACCTATTTACTCGTCTAAGTCCAAATATGTACAATAACAAAATAAAGTTATCAAAAATTCAATATATAATAAATAAATATTTTATCAAATCCAAAAAGCAATATATATAAATGTACAAAAAATTTTTCCTAACACTTGGAGTCTTATAAATTAAATTATAACTATCTTAGAATAATCTCCACAAAACTGACAAGCAAAAATACGAAATGAAAATATATTGAAAATTCACAAGGAAATCTTACAAATTAACTTCACCTAACTGTCACCAAGAAACTTCTACATTGTCAATGGAACTTGAAAGCCTTGCTTTTTACTTCACTTGATCTTTAGACCCACCTCATTCTATCTTGAACTTCACCTCCTCCTTATAGCGCAGTTATAATGATGTTACATGATTACATCCACTTGACCATATTTACATACTCCAGTGGCTAACATTTGTTTTATTCATTTAATTTTTTATAATTTTTCATTGTTCTTATTTGGTGACAATTGGAGCAGAAGATCATTCTTTTAACTCCTCCAAGATGATGTTTCTGGGTTTAATGATGGAATAGGTTGCTGCCAGCAGTCATTGTAGTAAGGTGAGTTTAGAGTTTAAAATTTTGTCCAGACAAGGTGCAATAGTCTATCCTTAATGAAATAAAATGCCCCAAAATAAATAAGAAAATAAACTAAAAATAATCCCCAAACAAACTATAATGGGTTGGAGTTGACTCCTTACATGTTAATCACAACCTTTAGATTTTACACCTTCAAAATGATGTCCATATTGCTTAGTATCCTCTATATTGCTGAAGTCTCTATAGGGATTATTTTTTAAAACATGTATCCCCCAAGGTTTATTTTCTTATTACCTTGTAACAAAAGACAAATGGATAAAAATTGAAAGAAATACCTCAATTACTTGTACATTTTCAGAACTATTAATTAAAACTGTTTATTGATTATATTTATATAATCAATAAACAGCTATAACACTTGAAATAACTATTGCTTTCATAGTTAATCTAATTCAGCATCTTCTGATTCGTTTGTTACAATGTTGTTAGAATCAGAATCCTGGCTACTATCAGGATTCTGATTCAAGCTCACCATTTCCAATTTGAGTTTTCCTAATTACCCTTTGGCTGATAAATCTCAATTGTGAATTTTCCATGCTTGGTACTCAACAATATTTATGATTTTAATTCCAGAACTGTTCCTATGAACTTTAGAATACAATGTGCTATTTGATTCTAGACAATTTGAAGAGGTAGAATTTTATAATTAAATTTCTTCTCTCTCTCTCTAAACTACAATATTTTTATGTTGCATTACTTCAACATGCTTCCCATGCTTTTCAACACAAGGTTTATTTTTAACAGCACTTTTGTTCTCTGGGATTTATTTAATTCCAGGGTTTAATTCAGGAAATTTGGTAATAAATAACAACAACTCAAAGCCCAAATAGTATATATTAAATTACCAAACGTTCGCCTAAATATCGGGCTATTTGGTAATCTTTTTTTTTATGAAAATGTCTTCTACATGTCCAGAAATGTCATCATACCAGATATGGTTGCATTTGGACAGTTAAATCTCTCTCTAGACAACATTAAATAGGGGTATTTTAATTACAATCATCCCGTATTTCTTATTAAACGAAACACATCACTGATAAAATGATTGAAACATTGTTTTCTGTGTTATTTATAACCGATAATATATATATTTTTATTTTTTATGCTTTTCCTGTGGGCACTAAGCAGACATTTTTAACTGTGCCCATCACAAATTCAGCCAGGGCCACAATAAGGAATGGTCAAGTGATGAAGGAATGAAGGACAGGACCAGACTTATCTAGGACAGACCACCACCTTGAAAAATTCCTGGGTTCTCTCACCTGGATTTAATCTTAAGTTCTCCATAGTAGTAAAGCAATGTCTTAACTGCCTCAGCCACCCAACTGATTATAATGCAGTATCTTACAATCATAGAGTTTTAACAAGTTGTTTATGCATAATTAATTTATGTTGTGTTAATTAAAACACATTGAACTAATTTAAGTCTAACTTCAATATTCTTTCTGGAGGAATAATGAAAGACAATTGCTCATGTAACATTTTATAAAATAAAACATATATATATTGACATGATAATCAATGTATTTTATAACTAACACATACACGCCCACATGTATATGTAATATTTTTATTACTTTGAGAATAATTTGAATTATGTATGAATCATAAAATATTTTCAATTAAAATTTAAAGTAGAAAAATTGGTTTTTTACTTCATGAGCAACAACTATAACTATGGTAAAATTTGTATAAGCTTAGCCAAATTCAGTTTTATAATGCTTATTAGAATGGAATCTTACTATGCAATATTGCTGCACAGTAAAATAATTTCTTCAGAGATTCCATTACCGAAAATAATTTTTATTTTTCCATTTAATAAATATAAAAAATATAAATACGACTTTACAAAGATAAAACTTTGCATTTTGTCTTTCCTTTTCGCTTTACCTGTTTTACATGTTTTTGTGGAGACAGTAGCCTCAAAAGAAAGGTCGTCTCCAAAACTTGGTGAATTATTTAAGGACTGCTGATGGTGTGAATGGCGAAAAGGAAGGACAAAATGCAAAATTTTATCTTGTAAAGTTGTATTTATATTTTTTATATTTATTAAATGTGAATAACACCGGCCATGTATTAGTTTTTTATTTAAAATTTATTCTTCAAAATGACAGTTGAATTGAATTAGTATTTACATAAAAGCAATCATATTAAAAATTGATGGCAATGGTAATTATAATCCAAACAAAAGCAACTGAGATGTAAAAATATTGCACCAAGTAAAAAATTATGACAATTTGGATGCAGTAAAAATTTTTTCTTGGGAGTTTTTCTTTGATAAAGACAGGCTTGGTGCTTCAAAGCAAAATTAAGAAACATTAATACAGGTGTCTACCACTTCAAAGCAGAAAGGTTATTTTTACTAAAGAAAAACTGCTAAATAAATTTTGACAGTCATCCATATTGTCATAATATTTTACTTGGTGCAACTTTTTTTATATCTCAGATGTTTTGGTTTGGATATCATTTGTTTTTGGTTAATGATTGCGTTATTACATTGAGATGTACGGTTTGGTCAAAGCTTGGCAACACTTCAACCAAACGCTTTCAATACACCTTTTAATAAAATCATTATAAAAAAATTTTAATTGGCATAAATTTGAGCTTTTGTTATTCTGGATACCATTTTGAATAAAAAAATCATTTGTTTTGATACAATTTTATCCTTATGACACAAAATTAAGTAATAAAAGTAAAATTGCTCTGTGGAGAACACCAGTGAACTTTGATCTATCAACCCTGAAGTTTTGCCAGCACCTCACTGATGAGAAAGACTTAGGTTAAAAATTTGAGCTTTCTAGATACAGTAGTTTTTTCTTTATGAGTGTCTGCAGTGCTGGTTGAAGTAAAGAAAAAGCAAATACAGCTTTTTTGGCACTTTTCTGCACTTTTGACATTTTTTGCACTTTTCAAGTGCTTATACTTTGTCAACTCCTTTATAGAAAAACCTGAAATTTGCACATTATCAAAGAAAACAAGAATCTTTCCAATGAGATATTCAGAATTACTATAGGTGTTTGGAGATAGAGAAATTGGCAACTCTTATTCCTGTATATATAGTCAGTCAGTGACCTTTTCACTTGGCATGTCGTCACTGCCATGACTCTTGATGAAATATTCTTGAAATTTTTCTAGTATATTTCATTACAATTAAT